TCAAAGCCAAAAGCTACCTTTTCTGATGCAATAGAATTTTGTGAGGATTGAGCACAGGAATTTGTATATATGTGTATTTCTTTATTTTCTCTTTTGTGGGGGAATGTCAGAAAAAGATAAAATAAAAGGGGCGGTGCCGCCCCACATGCACCGCCCCATTGCCAAGTATTAAAAATAAAAAATAAAAAAATAAAAAAAATAAAAATAAAAAAAAATAAAATATTGCAAATTGAATTGCAATTGTCAGATTTGATTCCTTCATTCGCCTATAAATAGGCATACTCGGCAGAAGGAGAAAACAGACCAAAGAAGAAGAGAAAAATAGAGAAAAGAAAGAGAAAGGAAAGAAAAGATAGATTTATGTCCAAATATCGGATATAAATATATCAAAAGAGAGAAACAAGTGATAATTTTTATTTGTTTTAAGATATCCCTTTTATTTTTAAGTGCTCAATTCTCGATTCCGTTCCCGTTCGCCGGAGCTCGTAAATCTGGTGTGCTACAGATTTAGAGACGTTTGCCGTTGTATCTTTGGGGAAGTTACGCCTGAACCGTTAGCTGCCACACGGGGCGTATTCTTCTTGCGGAAAGAGTTTTACTCGCCTCGGCTAAAATCTTTCCGTTTTTTCAGTTGTAATTTATTTTTTCAGTTCAATTGTAATTTTCTATTTTAGATTATTTGTAAGAACTGAAAATTACATATCAGTTCGTAGGATTCCCGTGTAATTTTGACACCAAATATCCAACAAAAGGAAACCACGCTTCTCCACCATTGCCATTACCAACAAAAAGTCTCAACCTCCCACGCACATCAAACAACAAGAAAGGTGTCGCTTCAAAGGAAACCGAAAACGACAATCCCATTTGGCCGGAAAATGGGAAGGTAGCCGGAAAAAATCGGCAGGAGAGATTAGAAGAGTACAGAAGGGGGATGGTCGCAAAATTTTCAACAAAATGCCGGAAAGAAATCGGACACGCTGATAAGAACCCGCGAGCGGGTTTCTCGAGCAGAGCCCGTTATCTTTCACCGCCGGCGAAAACTGGCTGCTTTTTTGTGTGTTCTTTTAGTAAGGCGAAAGGGAAAAGGAATTCATAATAAAAGTGATAAAAATAGGATGGGTTAACAAAAGGAATAGGAAATTAATGATCTTATAGTGATAAGTGATACGATAATGCTTAATTTTGAGTGATTTTTGAAAATTATGTATTCATGTACTGTTAATTTTCATCTTATCATACCACCAGCCATATTGTTCTGTTTCAAAATAATATAATAATACATGATGAACTATCGCTCTGTTTCAGTATTGTGCAGCTATATATATTATTTACGGGAAATGTTACGATCCCGTTACGGAAATATTTTGTCTGGGTTTGTAATCGTTAGATCATCATGTAACCGTCGGATAGTTCATTTAACGATTACAAACTCCGAAGGAATGGTTCAATAACAACCGAGCATCTCCTATTATTTACTTCCATATGACGGCATTGCTATAACATGCAAAAGAATAATTTAGTTTTCATTTGGCTGGATAAAACCTTTTTCATCAGAAGTTGTGATTGAATATAATAAAAAATACTGAAAATGGTGAGTAATCAATTTTGTTATGTATCATTAACATAATATAAAATAAAAATTGACTATTATCATATATTTTCCAATAAAAGAATTATTTACGTGTTTGTATACTCGAATTATCTGTTCATATTTTTATTACTTTTTATATCATATTAACTTTTATTTTATATACATTTACAATTTAAAAAGAAAAATTATTTGTCCTATTTTATTTCTTATTTATTTATTTATTTATTTCGAACGATAGAAGATCTCATAACCAGAAAAATAAGTACAGAGTTCGGAGAGCATACTAGCTCTTAGAGATCACATCAAACCAAATACAGAGAACCACTCAAACGGTGGCCTAGCAACACAAATACAAATTGCAACTAAAGGCAAATATGAGGATTTGAAACCTTTAGCGCACATCCACACGACAAACACATAACATAAAAACAAAA